CAAATGATTTCTCCGATTTAAGAATGCTGCTCCATAATATGCTGGGGGTGGGTGAGGTGGGGGGGAGGATTAAATGAACTCTAGATAGGACAAAGGGGAAAAGGAGAGGGAGGGGAAGGGAGGGGACATAGGGGTAGGAAAGATGGTGGAATGTGATCGTCTTCATTAACCTAAGTATTTGTAAGAAGACATGAAGGAAGTGACCCTACTTTGTGTACAACCAGAGATGTGAAAAATTGTGTTGTATATGTAATATGAATTGTAATGCATTCTGTTGTCATAAATAATAAATCAAAATTTTAAAATAAATAAAAATTTTTTAAAAAAGAAAATAAAAGAAAGAAGTACAAGGAAAGAGACCTACATTTTCTCTTGGATTACCTGGTGGTAAATAAAATAGCACTAAAATGTGAACAAAAAATGTTTGGATAATAGCAGTTTTGCATGGCCAGATTTAATTTAAGAATTCTAGCATAATTCTTCATATGGCTGAGATGTGTAAGGATCAGAAACATTCTGCCAACTAGAATACAGGAATCCCCAAGGCTCAGCAAAGCTTCATTGAACCCAGAGCTATTTTCACCCTTTCAAATTCTCTAGAAGTACTAAATTATTGCAACTGGGTGAACAGAAAGCAAGAAAAAATTTTGCTTACTGAAAACTCATTATGACAAAAGATTGTTCCAGGGTGCCCACAGGGGCCAAGAAAAAATGAAATAAGTTTTATTGCAGGGATACATTTAATCCACTTGTTACACCACATATAATTGCTTTAATGAACAAGATAAATTCTCTCCAGTCAAGAAGTTTCAACAGACTGAACCAGATCCACTCTGTATTCTTCCTTCAGGGTTTATATGTCGCTATTACCTGTATAAGTGACGATTGTCTTCAAAATCTTCCTGACCCCATTTTCCCTTAATGTCTTCAATAACGTGATTCTTCAGGAACTTTTTTAGCAGCTGGACTGTTTGTTTGCGAGTCACTTCAGGACCAAAGTTTTGACTGCACCTAAGCAACTCATGCAGCCAATCCACAGCTTCTGTGGCTGTGAAGCAATGTTCATAACTCTTAAAACGACAACGATGTTTCCGTAATGGCATCCTGGCACGAAAAAGCTCCACTGTTTCATTCCACTAGGGTAAAAGAAGAGAAAGACATTTAGTCATTAACTGATTTTTTTTAAGTTATTATATTCTAAATACTTAAATCAATTGATGTGATTTTTCATTTAAAAAACTGTTTAGATAACAGATGGCAACTTGAAAGATTTTTATTTACAGCCTTCTATGAAGAATGTTCTAGAATGGATGGTGGTAAAAGCTGCAAAACAGTGTGAATGTACTTAATGTTACTGAAGTATACACTTAAAAATGGTTAAGGGCTGAGGATACCACACAATGGTAAAGCTCTTGCCTAGCATGCACAAAGCCCTGGGTTCAATCCCCAGAACCATAAAAAAAAAAAAAAAGCAACTTTTCAAGGGTAATTCACCATCCATTCACCCCACCAAAAAAATATATATKGAGGAAGGAATGACCAATGAGGCACCCAGCACACTCATCTGTTCTCCCTCTGGATAGAACCAAAGTGTGTGGTGGTGTGTTGAAGTGAGTGGCCATGAAAGAGAACTGCAATTCAATTGCAGAAAGATGGAGACCTGGTGAGGTCTGGAGATCCGGAACAAAAGCAATAGCAAGAAGAGTGCTCCAATGCCTGCGGCCCAGCACCATGGCCAGGAGAGGGGAAGTCTCCCCTCTGACACAGTAAAAGTGAAAGAGTCCTAGCAAGTGCTATTGGCACAGAAGCCAGCACCTTGTAAACATAGAGCATAAACAGGTCTTCACAGCAGGCTAGCTTTAGAGAAGTTCACTGCACCCCACAGTGAACTCCCAAGGAGCTGTAGCCAGGAACCATCTTGAGAAAGGGCCTATTGTCTGAGTTTGTAATGTTCTGAAGGTCAGACAGGCCTACATATTCCCATCTCTGGGACCCTGCAGTCATCCCATTATACTACTTTAGCAGGGAGATGCCTCATGAGAGGGTCTTGGTTCAGGAGAGCAATTAAAATAAATCTACTTGGAGTTGTATGATGGGGTGGGGGGAATGGTAGAATTTGAGGAATGGGGAATCTATCCTCTGAGACCAGGGACAGGACAGTCACTGTGGTTCTAAACAATTGCAAGGACCAAGGATACCAGGATCAAGAGCAGCAGCAGATCACATGGTTCCTGCCACCCACCCCCAGCACTGAACTATGGGATTCCATTGCTCCCCTCCCCTCTGAGTCATCAAGGCAACACTTGATTTTGCTCTGCCTGTCCCCCACCTCCACCTGAAGCTTCAGAGAGAGCCTATACCTGGCACTGCCTGCCTTCTGCACAAGCTTGCAGGCAATCAACTCAGCTGAGAGGGATTTTAACTAGGTTCAGCCAAGACTGAACTCCTTACTCAATACCTGGCAGGTACTACAACTGAAAGAATAGAGCCCTGGGCAACACATTGCCCCTGGGATTCACAGCCTAAAAGGTCCCAGAGGGAAGTTTTGTAAGGCATAGGCCACATCATCTACCCTTGCTTACTCTTCCAAGCACATTGGCTAGGCGGAATATTTTTCTGTTGTTTTTTCTTTTGTTTATTTGATTTTTTTTCTCTTTTTTTATTTTTTTTTTGTGCTCCCCTCCATTTTTTTTTTTTTTAATGGTTTTGTTTTGTGTTGTTTTTCTTCCCAGTGCGAGAGATCAGGCACAGGACCTTTTTACAATGGGCAGGTACTCTACCAATGAGCTACTCAAAGCTCATTGAGAGAAACTACACCCAAAGCTCAGTTGAGAGGAACTACACMCAGCTCCAGCCATAACCCAGTCCCATTTGAACCCTGGTAAACACCTCTACTTAAAGAAGAGGGGGGGGGGGAATAAGTGCCCAGCTGTCAACCTGTCTGTCCCCAAGCAGACAGAGCTAGGAGGAATCTGAGGTCCCACTCCTGCACAGACATCCCCACAACAGCAGCAGATACCACACATATGCAGGTCCTTTAAATTGGCCATACCTGAACCCTGTCAGATCATGCATTGCAGTGAAGACTGGATGTGAGTGCCATAGAGAGGGAAGCTGTGTTCTGGCCTCACCCTTCTTCATGAAGCTTCATGAAGTTGGGATATTGTATAAATGCCTGTTAAGTTTATTTGATATCTAGTATAGCAATTTTGATTTTTTTTTGGTTGAGTTTTTGGTCTTGGTTTATCTGTTGGTGAGAGTAAGTGAGGTATTAGAGTCCCACATGATTATTGTACTGAGGTCTATTTCTCTCTTTAGGTCCAGTAGTGGCTGTTTCATAAAATCGAATGCTCTGACTTGGTGCATATAAATTTACAATAGAGATTAAAAGAAATACAAAGGATCAAAGAAACAAAGAGTTGGTTCTTTGAAAAGACAAAATTAACAAATGTTTGGCTTAGATAAATCAGGGAAAAAAAAGGAAGTCCCAAATAAATAAAATTAGAGGTGAAAAAGGAAACATTACAACTGATACCAGAGAAATTAAAAGGACCTTTAGAGATTATTTTGAAAAACTATATGTTAATAAATTGGAAAAAATAGAAGAAATAGATAAATTTCTGGACACATATGACCTATCAAAATTGAACCAATAGTCATAGTTGCCCTTACTTTTAATCCCAGAAACTCAGGAGGAGAATTGCATGTTTGAGCCCAGTCTTAGCAATTTAGTAAGTTTCACAACTTAGCAATACCCTTTCTCAAAATAAAATATAAAAAGGACTGGGAATGTAGCTCAGCAGAAAAGTTCTACTGTGTTCAATCCTCAGTACCCACCCACCCACCCCCCAAAAAAAAYTGAATATATGTTTTAAAGCCTCAATAAATTAAAAAGAAAAAGGTAACGAGACTGAATTAGTAATAAAATGTCTCCCAGCAATAAATAAGTTCAGAATGGTTTCACTGCCAAATTTTACCAAACTTTTAAAGAACTAACACCAATGCTCCTCAAACATATTCCCTAGAGTTGGAAGGGAAGGAACCCTTCTAAACTCAAGGACACAACAAAAAAAAGAAAACCATAGACCAATATCCATAATAAATATAAACTCAAAAACTCAGTCAGCATCCCACTAGTCAGCTGGCAGAGTGGACATTGGAGGTGTCCAAGTGCCCAAGTGCGCTCTATATAAAAATAGCCATAGCCCTTCCACAGCCCTATGCCAGAAGACTCCAATGGCACCACCAGCAATGTTCTTGGCATCCCTCAGAATTATTCCACCCATCATTAAACTCTTGCCTAGTCTTTGCTTCTAAAACATAAGTGTGAGTAAATAACTTTCCTATTTGTCCCTGTAAACTAGAAATAGGTTTCAAACTTTTCTCCCCATTATCTTCTACTTTCATAATCTTCAAAATAACCATCTTTCAGAATGTGAAGAATTTACTCCAAACTACACAGCTAATGAGGACAACCAATTCATACAGGTACTTCTTATCCTGTGATTGAGTTAAATCCCAAAGAGCCAAGTAGATAAAGAAAGGAATGTATACAAATAGAAGAAAATCCCTGCCCATAAAGAGTCCATCAACTAATTTATCTATCTACTCACCTACCTTGCTAGTTTGTTGTCAGGTTAAATGAGATTATGGCTATGAAATTCCTTTGCAAATGATAGAGTGTTTCTTAAATATATGGAAAATATGTACAATTTCAGGATAATCTCCCAAAACAAATTTTGGGGTTCAATCTATGCTATAGTCAGAAAGAATCTCTAGGGTCAAAGCAAAAACCCTAGCAGGATATACAACTTGGCAAATATCTTTCAGGTACTTAATCTGATAATAAGATCTGGAATCCAGTTTTAYGGTGATCAACTTCCTATATCAAGCACCCATGAACATCAAGGCCTTTCCACATACCATTTCCTGTTGCTACAACAAAATATCTGAGACTGGATAATTTATAAAGAATGAATGAATCTGACTTAACTTTCCTATGTAYTTATATGAAAACACCACAGTGAATCTCCACATCATGTAGAACCACAAGACTGTGATCCTAATAAGAATAAGATGTACTCCATGTTTGTATAACTATGTCAAAATGTACTCTACTGTCATGCATGACTAAAAAGAATTAAAAGAGAGAGAAAGTTTGTTTATTGGCCTATAGCTCTGAAAGCTGAGAAGTCTAGAACATAGCTCCAATATCTGGTGAGGGGGCCTTCTTGTTGCAACATAACATGGCAGAGAGCATCACATGGCAAGACAGAATAAGTATACTTAAGGTGTCTCTTCTTACAATGCCACTAATGCTACTATGGAGACCTTACCCTCATATCTTCTCAAATTCTTATAATCTCTCAAAGGCCTTACTTCAAAAATGCCTTTGGGATTACATTTCCCATTATGAACTTTTGGGGTATATATTCAAACCACAGCCACACCTTTAAACAATTTTCACATATTTTTAATCATTGATTTTTTAGTTTTTTTGTTTTGTTTTTGTTTTTGGTATAAGGGATTGAATCTGGTAGTGYTATACCCTGTTCTTGGATTTTTGTTTGTGGTTTTTGTTGGGGTTTTTTTTTTTGCTTTTCCCCAGGGTTTTGCTCATTAAGTTGGTGAAGCTGGCCTCATACTTGCAACTCTCCTGCCTCAGCCTATATATGATTTTTTAATGCTCTGCTGATACCTAGCTTTCATATCTCATTAGAATTTTTGCACCAAAAAGTCCAGATCATCCAGGCACAATAGCAACTCAGGAGGCTGAGGCAGGATGATCACAAGTTCAAAGCCAATCTGGGCAATTTAGCAAGTCCCCATCTCAAAATAAAACAAAAAGGGCTGGTTAAGTAGCTCAGCAGTAGGACACCACTGGGTCCAAGCTTCAATGCTACAAAAAAAAWAATAAAATAAAAAGCTATTGCTACTGCTTACAAACACTACTCTCACTTATTTCTAATATAATTAGGTGATTATTTGGCTACTGTGCTCAGAAAAAATAAATAATTAGATTTTTGTTGTTTTGAGATGGGATGTCGCTATGTTGCCCAAGCAGTCCTCCAACTCTCAAGTCTCCTGCCTCAGCCACAAGAATAGCTGGAACTATGACTTGCACCACCACACCTGGCTCTGAATTAAGTCATCTTTAAGCAATCCAGCAATACACTATTCTCAGTCACCTTTAGAAAGAAAATATTCTGGCTGAAGGTGTATATCAGTGTAGACACTTGTGTTCAGTCCCCAACACAGTAGAAAGAAAATATCCTATGTCAACAAAGAATATGAGAGAACTTGAGAATGTGACTTTTCCCATAGCATGCTATATTTAAAGAGACAAATGGAAGAATAAGGAAAAACAAAACAGATTTGTTTTGTGATTTAAAAATATTTTGTCTCTTATTTCAGACTCTTAGTCTAAAGAAATCACACAACATAACTGTTTATAACATCACAAGCCAAACTATAAGATTCAACTCCTAGTATTGAAATATGCTTCCTGTTCTTTTCTCCAGGATATTTATTCCACCCCCTTCCTGTTTAGTATAAAAATATAAAAGCAGTACTATAAAGACAACTGGCCTGGGAGTTTAGAGAAAACAAAATTCCAGATCCAGTTGTACTTGCCACATACTGGCTGTGTAACTTTGCCACTCCAGCACATTTTCCTGGATATTCCTTAAGGGCACAAAGGGCAATGAGACTCAATTCCAAGTCAGATGTGGACAGCAATGGTTGACAGACCAAGGAGTCAGTTTCCTTCCTCCCAATTTACCATCAGTTTCCATAGAAAGTCCTCTAAAAACTTGCCATGAACATTACCAAGGTGTCACCCTTTATTCCATTATGGTAATCTTCTGAGGCAGAAATCACAAAGTATATGCTCAAGGTCATAAAATAAATCAGGTACACTTCTTAACACTAAACTTGCCTTCCAAATGAAAAGGCAGCACCCTGGTTCAGTAGAGTCTGCAAAGGCTGATTATCCACCAAGGTCCATCCCTCAGGTCAATGCTGATGGAAACGCCACGGGCCAGAAACGTGCTAGAGCGAWCCACCTCTGTTCTGAGCACCGTTAGAAAGGATACTTCGGGGAGTGTCAACACACAGGAAGAAGACACGCCTTGCCTAAATTGCCGCAAAGGATGAGATTTACAGTGGGTGGGGTGGCCCTAGGGTTTCAGGTTGGGTCTTTCTCCTCCCAGCYGCAGGCGTTAGGAGCTAGGGGACAAAGGCAGAAGGGGATCAGCCTGGTTTTCGCAGCGCTTTCAATCTGGAGGCCCAGTATATTGCGGAGAACCCAGGCAACATCTCAGGAACGATGCTGTACCCACTCCCCACGGCTGAGTTGCCGACCCCTTAGCCCCTTTTTAAAGGTTCGTTCAGGAAGAAATCGCAGACCCAGAGGAAAGTCTTCACAAATCKGTCCAGCCTGCCCGGAAGAAGCTACAGCTGATTATTCGCTGGCTGTCCCAGCACGAGCCACGGAACGGCGGCGCTCGCRGCTCCGCTCAGGCCCCCGCACCCTCACTCACCAGCTTGGTGGCCCGGTAAGGCCCGGGCCCCACGATGCGGTGCTCCATGGCCCGCACGCAGCTAAGGCTGCGGCAGAGACCGCGCCGATCCCGAGCCGGCCGCGCAGCAGTTTGAATCTCAAGCCTGCGGGCTCCGGGTCCTGATTGGTCGGCACGTGGCGGCACGTGGCCGGAATTGGGCCAGGTGGGCGGAGCCCAGCGTCTCCACGGAGACCTCCTGCTACACAGGCAGCTGCAATCACCTAGCCGCCGAGCGTGAAGAGAGGGCCAACYTTCGGTGTGACTGACTGTGCTAGGGTGTCTCCGTCCGCGCTGGGCGGAGCTGCCTGGCACCCTTCTCTGACGCTCCTGTGGCCAGCCCACTCCACATGCTCTCTGGAAAAAAAGGCTTATGGAGGTGTGAAACCCGGTGCATAGATAAATCCCAGTTAGCCACACCGAGTGCACCGTGAACCTGCAGGTGTTGTTAAGATTGGGAGAAGTGGGCGATGAAATAAAGCGACTTGACAGCCTGTACAAGTTGAGGGGCATTTAAAAACTAGATAAAGGCAGAGAGCCACGAGGAATGTAGCTAGAGTGTACTAGCAAAAATAATTGGAAAAGATCCCAGATAGCTCCAGTTGTGCTGTCTTGATAGAGGATAGTCTGCCCSRTCCACCCCCACCTTGCCTGCCCCCTTGAGTTTTCTGTTACATCGAATTGAAACTTTTAGTACTTTGTTATAGGTCTGAGTACTTTTTTGCTGCTCAGAGTTAACTTACCCACTCTTTGCCCCCACCCCAAGAATTGTTGGTCCTATTTGCAACTATTCAAAGGCACAACAGAGGCCCTGACTCTAGATATCTGTGACTCCAGTTCAGAGTTCAAGTCTAATCACCTCAGTGAGCACCCATAAGAGCTGTAAAGGGTGGGACTCCCATCTTAATGGCACCCTCATAATCCCTCTCCTCCTATTTGTGCTTTAAATATGTATTTAACCACATTTTAAAAGCCAAAAAAAAAAGTCATGAGATGCATATATATTACTTTTGTAACCAGAAAAGGAAATAAAGRTAGGGTTTTCTTTTTATTACTTCCAGTAAGTGAATGCTATCACAACTTTTTTTTAAAACCTCCAACTCCATGAAAGAGATMTAGTTGTACTTGGCAAAGGCTACCAAGGGACACTCTGTCCTTAGCACAAGAGAAAGATGTAGAAATTTTAGAGTCTTGTACATCTGGAACCTGCCACCACSTACCATGGTGGTAGAACTGCAATATGGTAACAAAACATGCCTACCATGAAATTATGTAGCTTTCCACTTCTGTGGAAATCACAGATATGGAAGTTTGATAGGTCTGGGTTTCAATAATTATTGCTATTACTTACTAGTTAAGTAACTTCAAGCTAATTATTTAATTCCCTGCTAAAATAGAAATATTGATGATTACCTGGCAGAGTTGTTGTAAGGACTTGAGATGATGCATTAWAGTGCTAAATATAGTGCCCAGTGTATAGTAGCAGTAATAGAAATATCTTTAAAAACAAAAATCATGCCAAGCTCAGAATGGTAATGCACTCCTGTAATCCCAGCGACTCAGGCTGAGGCAGGAGGATCACAGATTTGAGGCCAATATCAGCAACTTCAAGGCCAGTCTTGGCAATTTAGTAAAACCCTGTCTCAAAAAATAAAAAGGGCTKGAGATGAAGCTAGTGGTAAAGCARCCTGTGTTCAATCCTAGTACAGAAGAAGGAGGAGGATGGGGAGGTAGGTTAGAGAAGGAAAGGAAAAATTGAAAATTTAAAAAATCRTGTCAGCTTCTTAAGCATTTTCCCAAGAATCCATTATGAGCCGTGAATAAGCTAATTCTTGATAACAGAAAAGCATATCTTACAAGAATCTACCTATCAGTGGAGACATATCACATATCAGCATCACATAAAAACAATTCAGAAACTCTTATTTTCTCTTTGCCCCCAAAAGTCAATGCTTTCTACCTTATCAACCTGTGCTCCAAACACAGTAGCCCTCTTTCTGTCCTTAAACATGTTCCTACCTCACAACCTTGTACTATTTCCCTACCAGGGATGGATGTTCTTGCCCCAGTTCTTGGCAYAGTCTTCTCCATCTCACCATTCAAGTCTCAGTTCTAACCTACAACCTACCTGCAAGTCTTGCCTTAACCTTGCTGTGTAGAGGTCTCACACCCCACCCCACACTTATACTGTTTTCTTTGCTTCATAGCATTTAGCTGTACCTAACATTAATTTTTATCTTCTATCTCTATAATAATGGTTATCTAATAAAGGGGTTCCAATTCCCAGTAGCATATTGGACATTTGTAGAGATGTTTTCTGGTTTTCATACTATGAGAGGGCCCCCACTGGACAGAGGCCAGAAGAGCTAGATGTTCTTTGATRCCTAACTCAGGCCATACAACCAGCAATCCTTGTTCTACATAACTTTTTGATGACCCACTGGATGTTCAGGTAACTGAAAAATCTGTTCATAATTAGCTGAGCCTAGAACCTTACTTCATTTTGCATGTAAATAAAAGATATTTGGGGCAATGAAATTAAACCCCTTTCACCCTGCACAAAACTCAAAGTGGATCAAAGACTTAGAACAGAGACCCTACACCTATCAGAAGAAAAAGTAGGCCCAAATCTCCACCATATTGGCTTGGGAACTGACTTCCTTAACAAGACTCCTAAAGCACAAGAACAAAAATCAAGAATCAATAAATGGAATGGACTCAAACTAAAAAGTTTCTTCACAGCAAAGGAAACAATAATGTGAAGAGAGATCCTATAGAATGGGAGAAAATCTTTACCACATGCACCTTAAATAGAACTATAAGATATATAAAGAACTCAAAAAAATAAATAACCCAATAAATAAGCTAAGAAAATGAACAGACGTTTCACAAAAGAAATACAATCAATCAGCAAATATATGAAAAAAAGTTCAACATCTCTAGCAATTACAGAAATGCAAATTAAAACTACACTGAGATTCCATCTTACTCTAGTCAGAATGGCAATTATCAAGAAGACGAGTAACAATAAATGTTGGCGAGAATGTCGGGGAAAAGGTACACTCATACATTAATGGTAGGACTGAAAATGGATTCAACCACTATGGAAAACAGTATGGAGATTCCTCAGAAAACTTGGGATGGAACCACTCTTTGACCTAGTTATCCCCCTCCTTGGTTTATATCCAAAGGACTTAAAAATCAGCATACTACATGATGCAGCCAGATCAATGTTTATAATAGCTCAATTCACAATAGCTAAACTATGCAATCAACGTAGGTGCCCTTCAACAGATGAATGGATAAAGAAATTGTGGTATATATACACAGTGTAATATTAYTCAACCTTAAACAAGAATGAAATTATGGCATTTGCTGGTAAATGGTTGGAGGTAGAGAATATTATGCTAAGCAAAATAAGTCAATCCCAAAGAACCAAAGGCTGAATGTTTTCTCTGATGTTTGGATGCTAATTCACAAGAAGGGCGAGGGGGCTAGGGAAGAATAGAGGTACTTTGGATTAGGTGGAGGGGAGTGTAAGGAGGGGAGGAGTGTGCGGTGTGAAGGATAGTAGAATGAATCAGACATATTACCCTATGTGCATATATGATTACACAGCCGGTGTAATTTAAATCACGTACAACTAGAAAAATGAGAAGTTATTCCATTTATGTATGATGTGTCAAAATGTATTCTACTGTAATGTATAACTAACTAGAAAAATAATAAAAAATGAGAAATAAAAATATATTTGGGGCAGTTTTAGTACACACTTAAGTGTACAAGAATATTATTCTGTTTTGTTCAAGACCATACCAAAAGTTACTATGTGAGAATGGCAATGCACTCTGTGGTGTTTGAAACATGTGCAAACGGCAGCCTGTTTCTTTTTTTTTTTTTTTCAGCCTGTTTCTGTAGCTGTAGAATTCTGTGAAAAGTGCATATAGATACAATGTACTTATTTAGCTCTTGTTTGAAAATATTAGATATAGATTTAAAAAGGACAACAATGTTCAGTTTATTWTTTTGTTGTTAATTTTTCTTTAGTGTAGATGGACACAATACCTTTATTTTATTTTTATGTGGTGCTGAGAATCAAACCCAGTGCCTCACACATGCTAGGCCAGCCCTCCACCACTGAGCCACAACCCCAGCCCCTTCAGTTGATTTTTATATGTTGATGCAAAATACTTGTCTATTTCATGGTATCTTTGTGGCATAATATTGCTTAGACATTTATTTATGTTTTGAAATGAATGTTGCTTTATTATAAATGATTTTTCTTTTCTCCTTGTATAAAAGAATTAATTAGGTGTAGCCTGTTTATCAGCAAATTTTATTTCAGTTCTGATTCAGATGGCAGAGCAATAGCACCATCCCAGAAAACAAACTCCTACAAGGACCTCTTGCTTCCCACATACCTCGTTTCTAGAACAAGATCTGATGGRCAAAAGATAGTCTGTAAATATTTTCTAATAAAAAATATATTTTCTAATAAATGATACATATTTATTTTAATGTTAAAATGTTCTAATTTGCTCTGAGTAAAATKTAAGTGGGAGGAAGAGTCTAGTTTRTCCTGTGGCTTTCCAGAATACACAATCTTTTCTCTCCCTCTCCAAAGGTACCCTAGTTGAAGAAGCACAAAAACAAGCTTGTTTGTTTGTTTGTTTGATAGATTCATGTTTCACTGAACATCTATCTGTATGATTTATCTCTAGGAACTTAGAATTGACCAAAATTGTGTCCTATTCCTTAAAAATATAAAAAATATTATGGTAAGTTATTTTGTTTTTCTACCTTTATTTTCTCTATTTTCTTCTTTATTCTATGGTACTATGTAAATATATTATAAGCTGCCTCAGAGGCATCTACTTCTTTATTTATTTATTTAAATAAATAATAAAAGCATTTATTATTTATTTAAATAAATAAACAAGAGCATTTATTCATTTATATAAGGAAAAGCATTTGTTTAAATAAATAAAGGCATTTGTTATTTAATTAAATAAATAAAAGCTTTTTAATTTATCTAAATAAAAGCATTTATTTAAATAAATAAATAAAAGCATTTATTTAAATAAATAAATAAAA